CAAAAAAAAAAAAACCACAAAATTAACACATCTAGAAATCGATTTTACAAACGTCAATTATGAAGAAACAAATTGACGTACTAATTGTACATGAATCAACAACTAAAAATGCAAAATTTCTAAATTGCATGTGTATAAGCACATGCATGTAAGCTAGTCATGCAGGCATATATAGACCGATTCAATCAATAATAAGGGGAGAATTGAATGATATGATAACATGAGAGGTGTGATTGCATGTATGATCCACAAAGTAAGTGGAGGCAGATTGATAATCAATGGCAGGATTTGCGCAAGCAAGCAGGCCTATAGATCAGATCTAACTGGCGGCACGTTAATCAGGGGCATCAAATTTCAACGCACCAATTGGATTGGACCATGAGAATGATTAAGGTTGAACCCACCACCGTGGGTCCCACCTTATACATCTTTTGAATGAGGTAAATTTCGAAATATATCTTAATAAGTTACGGAAATCTGATGCGTATAAAGGATTCAACTTCAAACTATATTATTACCAACAGAAATCGAGTTTTCATCGTTTCTGAAATTATTTTTTTCTCGGTCTGATTTTCACATTATTGAGCTGTGTCTGGACGAACTATGCAGGAGAATGATTGACACATAGTGATGAGGGTGATGGGAGCTAATACCTAAGCTCAAAGTTAAACTAATAATCTAGCTAAGCTAAGCTAAGCTCTAGCTAGCTTTCACTTGACAAAAGTTTCCCACCTTAAAAGAGATCATTTTTTTCAATAATTAAGATTGTGGTGTCGGCATCTTGAGGGCTAGTGGATGGCTTTCAACTACTTCCCTATATGTGTTTGTACCATGGAAACTTCATTGGAAGGTGACCCTTCAAGTTCCTACTACTCCATGACAAAAGAATTTGGTTTCTTGATTGTGATTGATTCAATCAATTACTATTTGCCTACATCTAACACAAAATCCACTGATCAAGGAAACTATTGGGCCCCAAAAGCAGATAGCTAGGCTTTTATGTATACCACTTGTTTAGTTGTAACTTTTATTTATTAAGTTCTTATCACGTCATAACAGCATATTATCATATATTTTTTTAATTTGTTAAAAAAGGATGAAAAAAGTACAAAAATTACTGGTAGTGAAATTCCCACCTTAAAAATGACGTGATACCGTAAAATACCATAACACATTCATAATTATATTTACCTCGCATATTAAAAAATTTAAGTTAAAAAAAATGGTTAAGAGATGATTGGGTGTGTGTATATATGTGGTTGTTTATAAGTTTTAATTGGTTGTCCAACCACTTAGATGCAGAATTGTTGCACTTTAAAGTAGTATTACCTCATATGTCAAAAAGCACCTGGAAGAAGAGAACCCTTTTAAGTGCATAGTTATTCAAATTGCATGATTATGCTTTATAGATATTTAATTTGACCCTCACTCTTATTTTGGCTTTCTTTTCACATTTCTCTTTCTCTCTCTCTCTCCCAATATTATTAATCCCAATATATATAATGTAGTTGCATTTTCAAAAGACAAGAAAAGCATCCAATCCAAACTAATCCCTTCTATTATAATTCTAGTATCCTCTTGTGCCTTCCCACATAATCTTTTTAAGCTCCATCTAGCCCCCACAGTATGGAGCTTGTATTACTCCCATCATCACAATAATTGAACTCTTATGTGGCCATAAATAAATAAATAAATAAATAAATAAATAAATAAATAAATAAATATATATATATATATATATATATATATATATATATATATATATATATATATATATATATATATATATATATATATATATATATATATATATATATATATATTAGAACACAATAATTTGGGATAATTGATAAACAAACTGCTAAAGCTATAATACAATTGTAAATGGTGTGTCATACCATGCTAAAGAGTTTTGTGTTCATTCACTTGAATAAGAGCCAAACTCTATAGGTGTTATCTGAACTGAATTTGAATTAATCTCTCAATAATAAGGATGCCATATATATGCGAAAAAGAAAATATAAAATCACATTGAATTGCTTGCACAAGCCGTCAATTAATTGGTTCTGAGGTGATAGATTGAGAGTAAAGACACAAGATCGAGCCTTAATAGTCCCAGTGTAAGAGGCCACCACCATCCTGTGACTCCTGTGAGGACCATTGGGGCGAAGGTATTTTGCTTTTTGTAGGCAAAACACTACACATTTTTTAATTTGATCCTTTTTTCTTTTCAACTACTAAATATGATTAAAAATATGCCAATATCCTTATCGTCTAGTAGCACGAAATGACTCTCTTTAAAAAAGTAGTTATGAACATATATTACATTGTAACAGAGTCAGTAGTAGAATCTTCAACTCTTTCTCTCTCTCAAGTGGTTAAAATTGACACAAAACATTACATACATTGATACAAAGTAATAAATTATGCAATTAATTAATCACAACTAACTACATATGAGTAGTCTAATATAATAATTTTAAAATGCTTCCTTCTCAAGTGACCAAATATATATTCTTTTGAATGCCGTGAAAAATCATTGTTGAAGTACATACGCATATATGCAAGACTATAAGGGGATTGTGTTCTTGTCAAAAAAATAACAAATAAAAAATAAAAAATAAAAAAATTCACACCTACAAACCAAGACTATTGTTACTATGTACAAGGTGTGACAACATGAAGAGTTAACGTACGTGCAAAGGTATGAATTAAGTTGTGCTGCTAAACCAAACGTGAATTCAGTACACACAAACTAACTTTCTTGTATGTATGTTTTTCTATATAAGTATTTATGTAGTTTTATATGTATTATTTATAGTATATATGCATGTGTGTATAGGTCAATTGAATATATAGGACCAGTCATCCATGGACCATGGCAAACATGAGGCTTGCAGATCGCCGACCAATGACATGCAACAACAAATACTTACCAATTCAAACTCCCACTTTTGCACCGAAAAGAAGGTTCCAATTTTTGTATCTTTTTTATTTTTAATTTTTAAAGAAAATGGAAAAGGAAAGTGAGATGACTTGAAGTTTTGGGGAGCCTAAGGAGCTTTAGGTGCTTTTGATGTTTTTGTTTTCTTGTTTTAAGTGCTTACACGTAAATTTCGTTAAACCCACAAGCTATGTCCATAATTAAGCATTATATTCATCTTATTTGTGAATTTTTCGCAAAAGATATATACTGTTTCATTCACAAGATTCAAATTCGAGACTTTATTTAAGGAAAACTAAATTATGTTAGACGAAGGTTTAGCTTGGATCAGAGAATTGAACCAATTCCAGCATAATGTCAAGATTTACAGGTTCAAGTCTAGCTTCATGTCAGTCATTAAAACATAGTGTAGACTGCTACTTAAGAACGTATAAAGAAATAAAGTTGCCTTTGCTTCTAGTTATAACTTTTAGCGTAAAGATAAGCGTATTATCTAACATTTAGTATGAAAGTAGGTCACGAGGCATGCTGTGCAGTTGAAGCAGAAAATAGTAGTGGGAGAGAATTATTTAGCAAAGGTTTTCCTATGCAATTTTTTTTTTTTTTTTTTTTTTTTAAATCGTCTTTATTACTAGTCATATTTTTAGACGTAGTGAGGCTGACAATTAAGAATTAATTTGGATATTGTATATTACAATTGTTCGTGAATAACGTATTATCATTTAAAATTTATGTGATATAAAAATAAAACAATCAAGAAATTGTACATTAAAAAAAGTTGATAATCAAATCTTCCAATCACCTCTAGAGAACACTGATGTCCACGGCATTGGACCCGTTGTGTACGTTCAACTTCTAGAGATCATAGGGTGGGCAACATATATAATTAAAGGATTAAATAGTTAAGAGTCTTGCAATATGTAATGCTTTCTTGTTTCTATAAAACGTACGACCTAGCTGTTTCTTGTGTAACGTAACTTACACTAGCTAGTAGCTAAACTAGCTACCATATACATACATACATATATATGATATAGATATAGAGAAAAAAAAAATCTTCAATATCAAATATAAAAATCTTATATTTTAAAATTAAACGTCGTAAAGATACATTTATAATTTTTTTTTTTACATATGCATATGTATGCACGAAAATGGTGGATGGAAATAATGAAATTTTTAATTGTATACTCACACATGTGTGAGAACAATGATTGTGGTAAAAAATATTGAATAATTTCATTTGCCCATCTTGATTGATCAATGGTTGGAAATAAGGGAAAAAGAAAAAAATAGTAACATTTTTGTAGTGCATTCAACTTGAGTGCAGTTTTACTGTATCACTAGAATTAATCCACATTAGTAGCATGTTTACTAATTTCTTCAAACTAATTGCATATCTATTTTAACAAATTATTGATGAGGAATGGTTTACACATGTTTCATAAAGATTATTATAAGTTGTAAATTGTAATATTTTAATTTATCTAATTAATCAATGATCATAATCAATTAGGAGCAGGGTTGCTTGTGTACAATCTATAGTCACAAATTAATTATTATCATATAATTTGTCAAATCATAATATATGAAGGAGGGCCAAGCATATCTAGAGAAGGATGAAACAAATATTTTTTAAATCAACCTTAAATACTTGTCATGTGCAAATTGCATGATATATGTTTTATTCCTTTTCTATATTCACTATTGAAAAAAGTTACACAACCTAAAAAAGAAGTAAGATTCGTAATTGTTTTTACTTTATATATCTTTCTCAAAATGGTTACATGACACGAATAATTATGTTTAACTCTCAAATTATTTATAATTTTAATTAATATTAATGAATAAATTTATATATTTAATAATAAAAAAATTAATTTGACTAATGAATAGTGTATGTATCAGACAACTGTAAACTTAAAAGGCACGCTAAATAATTTATATGTACAAATATTTAATACGGGGCGTAATTAACTAAATACTTTAATATTATATATGTGGCTAAATGTCATTATTTTGAAAAAAAAAAAAATAAATTACGGAACACTTTAAATTTCTCAAATTCACATCAATATCTACATCCGGTTACATCATAAGATTATAAAGTGGAACACATAATTTCAGGTGGGGGGGAAGAGGAAATTAGTAGCATAAATTTTTTTTTTTCCCGTTGATAGATAAATAAAAATAAATAAATAAATCTTAATAATGTACAAATTAAAGATCCGAATTGGAGTAAATAACATCAGCTGACTATAGTCTATAGCCAATCCAAGCCGATCTCACTTGTGAGTGAGAGCCGACTCAAGGCGCGGCTGGCGCTAGGCTTAGATGCAGATCCAAGCCGAATGCGTCGTCGAAATTGGGCCCATCGTCGGCTCTGGAGAACCGGCTCAACGACGGCCCATCAATTTTGGCGCTATGGGCCTGGACCGACGGGCGCCCAACGGACGTGACGGCGGAATCCGCCACGGTGCCGGCGGCGTACGAGAAGTTCCCCACGCCTCTCCCGGCGGCGGCGGACGCCGGGAAAACGCAGCCGTGCGACACGTGGAAGGGAGGCGGGGCGCGTGGGACGTAGACCCAGGACGGGGAAGCGGCTGCGCCGGCGGGGACGACGACGGGGCCGGCGGCCGAGGCCAGGAGGTGGGCCGGCGGGGAGAAGGCGGAGACCATGGGGTTCCGAATGTAGGAAAGCGTGGCGTTCCGGCTGGCTTGCATTTGGGCACGCTTCAGTTGCTGTCTCTCTTTCTTGTGAGCATTCTGGTGGCCGCCCAACGCCTGGGAATTCGCGAATTCCCGGCAGCAGTACTGGCACTCGTACTTCCGGCCGTCCGATGACGGAAAACCGCCGGATTCCGGCGACCCAGACGGCGTTTTCGTCGACTCTACTTCTTCGTCTTCCGTTACGTTGAACCCAAATAGCTTCAGACGTCCATTACTCGCGGCGGCAGAGGTGTTAGAAGCTTTACTTTGATGCAACTCCAGCTCTGCCATATGTATGTATATGTGTATAATCTTTGTTTCTAAATGTGTAGGGGGGGGGGGGGGGGGGGGGGGGGGGGGGGGGGGGGGGGGGGGGGTTGAAAGTGAGACAGAAATGAGACAGAAAGAGAGAGGCAGCAAAGGGGAAGTTTAAGGGAGTTGTTGCATGTGTGGGGGGGGGGTATATATACAAGTTTAAAGGGGTTGGCAACTTGGCATATATATAGCTGTAGGGATAAAACAATTCTCATAATAATTAATATAATCACTATATATAATGGGTGTGTATGTATCTCCAAGCATTTTTCCTTTTTTTATTAATTATATATAGAGATTAACAATAATAATAATCAGTAGCCCTAAAAGTGACGGTCCAGTGCATAAAACTAATTAACATGACTCTTGTACCAAAATGTTATGAGTTTGATTCTTGTTAATATTCTTGGTTTACCTTTACCTGTATGGTTGACGAAGTACTACACAAGAGCGAGATAGAGACTGTGAATTTCTCTTATCATTCATTTAAAAAAAAAAAAATAACAATCAATAGTAATCAATTAAATGAGACTAAAATCATTATAGAAAATCACTCACAATATAATAAAAAATCACTCACAATATAATAAAGTTTAAAACCACTAACCAAGGATTAGGGGGCATTACTTATTATCAAGGGTCATTGTTGCTTAATTGGGTTAGAGATTTAGAGACCACACATATATACCAATCAAAAAGATATGAAAATAAAGTCAAAACAGATAGCCCATGCATGCACAAACATGTCTGCCAATTACAATATTAATAATAACACAAAAGACATTAGTTTAAGTGAAAAGAGTTTCAAATCCTATAAATATGAGATCAAATCAAAAGACCGCATACAACATATACATATATATAAAATATGTTGTTTGACGTTCGATAAATTAAGGTTGTATCAAATTAATCTCTTAGGAGAAAGACTAAAATTGAATCAAATAAAAAGTATATTTATAACATACACTAATACAACATATATAGGGTATGATAGAAAGGAATTTATTGCAATTATTTTATATATAAAAGATGTAAGAATTGAAGGGTATCTAGGCTTAGATTCATTCATTTTTAATAATATAAGCTAGAAATGAAATGTGCACCGCTTTATATATGTACAAAACATTAGTCCCATCTCACCTTTCCTAAGGTCCCACTTTTTGCATCAAAGCATATCTTAGCTTTACTGATCATATGTTTCACACCCACCCATTCCCACACTTTTAACTTACATTCATCATTCATGGGGCTATGAAGTATGAACCAACTCTTCATGTTTGCTGCTTTTCTTCATCCTCCTTCATTTTTGGTCAAACTTCTAAATTTACCCCTTACTATATCTAATCTTTATAAACATTTATATATGTATTTATGCATGTGCACTTGAATTTAGGCCCGTATTTTGGTGGGCCGACCTCCCTTAGATCCGTATTTTGACGGTTTTTTTTAGCCTGTCCCGCTATATATATGTTGGACTTTGGCGGGCCCTGCCTTATCGGTCCCTTTTGACAGCTCTGGTATTCCTGAATTATGTCTGCGCAATCATGATAGAAGAGTTTTTAACATATAACATGATAGAAGACATATTCCTGAATTATGTCTGTGCATTTCAAATATCAGCTTAGATTTTTAGTTGAGATGGAACGCATACTGTAATTAGCACAACTAATGCTAACTAGTATTTAATTCCCAATTTGAATTGCTTATGGTTCATGTTTACCGTGATGACCAAAAAATTGTTGTAGATTTCCTTTCTAATATCTCCATTCAATATGGGAAAAGTCATGGGATCTTTGATTTTTGTCTTCTTTCATTCAAGATATTCTTGTTGGTGAGTTCTTAGGCGTTCTTCAGTCATGCTGGCTCACTAGCACTATGTAGTTCATTCCTTTGAGTTTCCCTCCTTCCTTTGATAATAAATAAATAAATTTCAATATAAACACAAATATTACGAGAATATTTAATCATACAATAATATTGCAATTAGTTCAGAGAGTTCAATTACTTTTCTTCTTTCTAATATAAACAAACAATAATTGATTTCATATCATAATTATTTTCCATTAATCATTCAATTAGAAGAAAAATTAAAAATCGATATTTCATGTTTGATAAGTTATATCATTCCTAAAGTTCCGTATAAAATTTTTACAAAGTATAAATCTAATATGAGTAATTTTTTATCATTAAATATTTTTAATTTGTTTTTCTTTAACAATGCAAACATTAATATGATTTTAATAATAATAAATAGCAATTTGAATTAATATAATAGTGAGGAAAACAAAATTATCATATTCTGCAGGGGTTATTGACAATTTATAAGAGTTTTAATTTGGTGCAAAACATTATAACATTATTGTAGAAAAATGGCAATTCTGTGATTAGAGTCAACATGGGACACCTTGTGGAAAGCCATCAAAGTAGACTCCCTAGTCCCTTCCATATATTTTTTAACAAAAGTTTTAATGGGACGAGGCCGGGCATTTTCGTCCAAGAAAATATAAAGTATAATGTGTTAAGCATAATGTATAACTCTTTTAACATAGACATGCAGACATAGTTAAAGAGCACTATTGAGCAGTTAGGACTAACCTATAATCACATATAAATATTTAGTGATCCAAAAAAAGTACTAACTATAAAGTGTATTTATTCATGTTAATAATTTTATGATAATAATTTAAAAAAAAAAAAAAGTGAATTCTATGAGTAGTTCATATTTGATCTCTAAACTTTGATAACTTTTGTGGGTGTATATATATACTTTTTTTACTAGAAAAAAGAGAGAATACCCAAAATGCTTTTTGTGTATATATATCATATAATATTAAAGTTGTTGTGCTTTAGAAAAATTATTAAAAAATTATTCAAAAAATCTTAACTTATAATGTAAAATAACATTGTAACTTTCTTCTTAAAAAGAAATTAAAACAATTATGTCTAAATATTTCAGGACTTTCTTAGGAAAAGAGATATCAAATTCACAACAACTCCAAATATCTTTCTTCTCTTTTATGATAAAGACGGTGTTGTACAACCTAAGAAAAGTTAAAATATGGTTTAATGTTCATTTTGATGGTCTTGTAATATAGCATCAATAATTACATTATAATTAAAATATTATTATAACTTTCATGGTTTGAACTCGGAAACCAAAGCTAGCTATGTGATATTAATGGGAAGAAATTGAATTATTTTTATTTTCGATCCCTCTCAACTATAATGTCATTTTTTTTTTTTTAATATACCGATCGAAATCTCCATCTCTATAATACTAATTCAGGTTCAATTCCTGTCAAGCAGGATCGTTCCAATAAAAATTAGGGTCCTGTACAATATCTTAATTTGAGATCCTTCATTCAAGTAATTTATATATATAAATAATAGTTGTATCAAAATATAAATATTGTATAAAAAATACATTTAAAATTTTATTTAAAAAGTGACTTGTGCCGTGCACATTTAGACGTTGAATCATCTACCAAATTTTTTATATCAACTTCTTCCAAAAGCTCATTTTCAATGGAGATTAAAGTTATTCCATTAAGTCTCTCTTGCAACATACTTGATCGTAAGTAAGATTTCAACAATTTCAACTTTGAAAAACTCCTTTCTACAAAGACAACAGTAATTGAGAAAATCAATAATATTCTATATGCAATAGTAACATTTAGAAAACAACTAACTCATCTGTTTCAATGAATTCAAGATACTCACTGCCCCTTTTTTTTTTTTTTTTTTTTTAATTTCTCTAAGCAATTTTAGCTCAATATACAATTCATTTCCATCAATATCACCACACTGTTCATTGAGATTTGGGAATTGAATTAAAAAATAAAAATAATGGTAATTGCTAATTAATTAGCATAAGGTCCTGGTCGAAGATGCTAATTGTTATTTGAAATTTTGAATTGGGAATTGTCAATCTTAATTAACAATTGTACTTGTCAATTGAGATTTAGGAATTAAGAACTGCCAAAAGTAGAGAAGAGAATCAAGGGATTAGAATATTGGCCCAATCTCCATACACTTAGCTTAAAATCTCGTATATTATATATACATATATATATATACATATATATATATATATATATATATATATATATATATATATATATATATATATAGGGACCCCAAAAATTGTGGTCCTTGTGTGATTGCACATGTTAGACATGCTCAGAACCGGCCCTGCTGTCAAGCTTGCATATTTTGACTTTTACACGGGAGAAAGCCTAACCCTAAAATCCTGAACTCTTTAACCTGAATATTATCATTATTTTTATTTTGTCTTTACTTACCGTTCTTGATATTTAAAAATGTTCACTCTTAGTGAAAATGACCAAAATGCCCTTAAATGTAGTTATGTGAGACACTAACTCTTTGTGCTTCAATATATTGAGAAAGTATGTATGAACAGATACTACATTGTAATAGAGTGAATAGTACTAAAAGAGAATAATATCCAGACTTTGCAAAGTCCAGCTCAGAGTCGTTCTTTAAGATGGTGTATCACTTATGAGAGTCTTTTATTTTTCAACCTTATAGTCAGGGCCGGATTTTAGGCTGTGCAAGCTGGGCTACCGCACAGGGCCCCCAATTTTAGAGGGGCCCCAAATTTTAGAGGTCTAATATTTAATTTTTACCTAACTAGTTTAGAAATAAAAATAAAAAGTTTTCAATAAATCTAAAAAGGTTTTATGAAGAGATGGTAAGAATGTGTATTTAGTGTATTTTCACTTGGAGGTCAAAGGTTCCAAACTTGCATATATTGATTTTAAAAATTATTATTTTAGTAGGGCCACATTTATTTATCAGAACAGGGCTACAAAAAGTTAAAATACGGCCCTGCTTATAGTTGTATTAGTAGTTCGCTTACCAGTTGTCCCAAATTGTTGAGATAAAATGTCACTATAGTTGAGTGATAATAAGTAAAAATAAACTTGGTAAAATTTTATATTAAAAAAAAAAAAAAAACTCCGTAATAATAATTACAGAGTGAAATAAAGTTCAGGTGTTGTTTGCATCTAAAACCTGGAAATTTGGGACCCAAACATTACGTGCTGATGATGAATTATTGTTTAGGATGTTTGCGTGATTGACGTTGAAATCTATCCTCTTTTTT